CTCCCCCCGCCCCGCCCAGCGCGAGGCGACAGCGGCTCCTCACCCGGCGCCCAAGGGCGCCTCAGCCCCCTCCCCAAGCCCCCGGGGGCTCCTTCCCGCCGCCCCACCGAGCCCCGACGGCTCCTCGACCCCCCCTCCGGCCCATAATGGCTTCTCGGTGCCCCCGGAGCCCCTCGTGGCTCCTTATTCCTCCCCCCAAAGGCTCCTGGACGCCCCCCACCCCCAACGGCTCCTTATCCCCGCCCCAGCTCCCTCCTCGCCGCCGCGGCCCCAGCGGCTCCCCGCGCGGGCCCGGCCCTTCCCGGCGGGCCCGSCCCGCGGCCCTGCAGGCCCCGCCGCGGCCGCCGCCCCGCTCACCGCTCTGCTCGCCCAGGAAGACGAGCTTGAACTTGCGCAGCGGGTTGCCGAACTCGCCGCCGCTGCCGGGCGCCGACATGGCGGAGCGGGGGGGCCGAGCGGGAGCCGTGACTGGGGAGCGAGGGAGCCGCGCGCACCGACGAGCGCCCCACCCGCCGCCGCCGCCGCGCGTCACTTCCGCCGCCCCGCCGCGCGCGTGACGCCACGGTGACGTCACGCCGGCGCCGTGGCGTCACGGCCGCACGGGAGGGCAGCGCCCCCTGTTGGGGATGGGGGGGGAGCAGGCGACAAGATGGCAGGGAGGCCCCAGCGGGCGCTCGAGGCGGTTTATTGGCGCGGGCGCCGCGGCCCCGACACAGAGACGCCCCGGGGGCTGTTCTACGGGGGGACACGGCCGCTTCGGGGGCGGCGTGGGGGGCGAGCGGGCGGAGGGGCCCGCGCGGCGCCGGCGGCTGCGCGCGCCGCCTTAGCTCTCCTCCTTCTCGGCCTCCTCCTTCTCGTCCTCGTCGTCCTTCTCGCCCTTGAGCTTCTGGCGGGCGAACTCCTCGATGACGATGTCCTCCTCGCTGGAAAGGAGAGCGGGGCGCCRTGGGCTCGGGAGCCGGCGGGGAAGCGCGGCTGTGCCCCCTGCCACTTTCCGACCAAAACGCCCCAAAACGAGGGCGCGGGGGGCTCCCCGTGGAGGCAATTAGAGCCGCGTTTTGCATTGTCAACAGGAGAAAAGGGAAGGAGAGGAAATAAAGTGGGGAGGGAGATGAGTTACCTCCTTGAGAAAGGGGTGGCGCCAAGGGAGAGCCATGACATGAAAAGCGGGAGAAGAAAATGGAGAAAGAGAATGAGCGGAACAGGCTCCAGAGGCCTGGGAATGTGAAACGACTGGGCGGATTTGGGGGGAAGCGCCCGGCCAAGGGGGTTGTTCCTCGGGGAGCCGGGATATCCACTGAGGCCGGGAGTGAGTCCGGAGCAAGGGCTGGGGAGGCTGAGTGGGCTCCCGTGCCCCTCGGCAGCGCTCGTGCCCCTCGTAGCGCAGAGCCAGGCGCGGAATCCCGGAATCCTGGCATGGCCGAGCTCGAAGGGACCTCTAGGGATCCCCCAGTCCAACCCCTGCTCCAGCAGGGACACCCAGAGCACGGAGCGCCCGGGCGCATCCAGGCGGGTTGGGAGATGTGCAGAGCAGGAGCCTCCCCTGCCTCCCTGGGCAGCCCATTCCCAGGAGCAGCCGGGGAGCTGGGGAGGATCGTGCGGCTGCAGGACGGGGCCGGGCGCCGCCGCCGGAGCCCTGCGCTGGTGCGAGGCGCCCGTGGCCACGAGTGCTGCCCGTGCCGGGACAGGCTGCGGCACCGGCCCCTTGTGTCGGGCTGCACCGCGTTCCCRGGCCCGGGCGTTTCGATCCAATGGCAGCGCCAGCACTCCCAGCGGGAATGGGGCACTGCATCCATCTGCGATGGTTCTATGTGCTTTATTCATGTAGAGAAAATAAAGGCTTGTTTTCCTTACCTTGGCTTATCTATAGTCCGTTCATAAGCACATCCAGGGAGGCAAGCATTGAGAGAGGCACAGAGGTTAGTGCAGAAATGACCTTTCAGCGGGCAGCTGCCCCGTTCCCGGGTGTCCCTTCCGCAGTGACAGTCCCCCACGCGAGGCCTGCGGGGGTCCGGGCTGCCACGGGGCGATAGCACCTTGCTGCCGTGTGTGATCCTCGTCTGCAGCACCTGCCCTTCCCCTGGGACCGTCCCCTGTCCCCCGCTGCGAGCGGGGCCCCCGGCCTCACTCACCATCCGAAGGCTTCGGGTGCATGAGGATGACGGGCATCTCGACGCCGACGTCGCTGCGGGGAGGAGCAGGCTGGTGAGCGAGGTGGCCGGCGCTGCCCGCACAGCCGCAGCCGTGGGGACGGCGCCGGGGCCGCCRCATCCCCCCGCGTGGCTCCAGCGGCGCTGCCCTACCTGGAAGTGAGATCCCCCAGGATGCTGCGGCAGCAAAAGGAAGGACATGGGATTAGCGGAGAGCGAAGGCGGCCTGCGGGACGCTGCTGGGGCCCCCTCCGCCAGGCGGGAGGCAGCTCCGTGCACCGCCTCTGAGATCCTTGGAAAGGGGGTCTCGTGGGAGCACGTGTCGGGGTGCCCCACGGGGAGACGCCGGTCGGGCTGGGCTGCCCGTGCCCTGCCATGGGTGTTGCGGCTCCCCAGTGCCGGGAGGACGGGAGCTGGTAAAAGCTCTTTGTAATCAAGTGGAAGATGCTTCATGATGTGTTGGATGGTGCTTTTTAACGAGGGTGAGGGGTGGGGATGGGCCATGGGGAGGGATCGCCATCCCCATGAGATGGGGGTCGAGGAGGACATCCCTGGCCTGGGCCGGTCCCAGCCCTGCAGCCTCTGCCCRCCCTGCGCCGCCCGCGCRCTGCCGGCCCCGCGCCGGGAGCTCCTCACCCGCCTCGGGACACCACCAGGTTGACCTTCACTTTGTAGGACACCAGGATCCCCAGCACCTCCTTGTCCATGCCGGGCCTCAGGCTAGGGGCAAAGGGAGAGCAAAGCCGTGAGAGGGGACATCTCCCACCAGGCGGATCCCAGGGTCCGCCTCAGCATGCCGAGGAAACGCCCCGGATCCTCGCTGGGAATGAACGGGAAAAGGCCCGGCAAAAGTGCCAGGAAGGGGGAAAGGCCGGGCCTGTTCTTGTGCCGCGGGGCGAGGGAGGCTGCTCCTGCACCCTTACATGGTGGTGGAGGCCAGGTTGGTGTCCTCGTGCTTGAGCTTGCCRTCCAGCGCCAGGCCGCGCTTCTCGCGGTTGGCGGCGAGCGTGGGCGTCACCGAGTAGGTTTTGGAGAAGGTGGAGTTGGCCGCCACGTTCTCGCTGTGGAGAACGGGGTGCTGAGCACCGGAGCGGGACGCGTCCGCACCCGGAACCCCCCGGGAAGGGCGGGCGGCCACGTCCCTGCTACTCACTTGATCTCCTCGTTGCACACAGTCTTCGTGTACTTGTCCAGGGAATAGAGGACCACGTCTGTGATCTGGTCCACTGCAGGGAGAGCAGATGGAGCAACTCTGAGTGCGCGGAAGGAGTCGCATGGGCACCCACCAACACAGAGGCCCCGGCGCCCCGAACGCCCAAGGGGCAGCATCTCCCATCGGCGGGCAGGGAGATTCCTGCAGGTTTTTCCCCATTGCCRGATTTAGCCGGGTAAATACTGAGTAAATAACGTTTCACATGGGCTGCGGATCTCGTGGTCGTGTTGCCACACTTGTCTCTGCTGACAACTGAAGCTGCCACCCTGACACCTGCAGCAGGACGCGCCGTCCCGGGACACGTCCGTGTGTCCCTCGGATGTGTCCCTCAGCCCTGCTCTCACCTGTGATCTTAATCTTCTTCACGATCTTGTTGGTGGTGTTGTTGATGTTGACAGTCACATTGATGGGGTCTCCGTGGTAGTAGATCTGCAGTCGGAAGAGACTCGGTCGCACAGCGGACAACCACGTTTTGGGTGCAGGGGCAGTGCTGGGTGTTGGACAAGGGAGCYGCTCCTGGGGGCCCCAAGGGGTGCAAACCTCCACCAAGCGGAAGGTACCAGGGCCAGGGGAAATGCATCTTGTGCATCACGCCCAAGACTTTCCCTTCCAGAGAGGCAAGAAAATCACAGTTCCTGGGGYGGGTTTGCAGCCCAACCACAGGGCTCTCCAAGCCTCGGGCTCGCAGGATGCCGCAGAGYGGGTGCTGCACATCCCGGGAATTCAAACACGGAGAATTCCCCATCCCGCGCCCACCTCTTTGTCCAGCGAGGCCTCGAGGTGCAAGGGCTTGTCGGACATCATGAACTGCCGGGTGGTCTCGGACCTGGGCGCGGGCCCCGTGTTCAGGGGCGCGTACTGGATCTTGCGGATGATGAGCCGCACCGAGTTCCTGCGGGAGCCAGAGCCCCTCGCTGCAGACTCGGACCCTGGCAGCCGCCTCCTCCCCGGACCCGGAGCCTCTCCTGCCGTCCGGGACCGAATCCGGAGGCTGAAGCGGGGCCCTGAATGGGTCCCGGACAGGCAGCGTCTGTTCGGCTGCCGGGACCGGCAAGGAGAGGGATCCCCTGCAAATACCTCTTGTGTATTTTCTCCTCCAGGTTTTCAGCACAAAATCCTTTGACCTCAAAGTCCACTCCACAGGCCTGTGGGAAACACACACGGTTGCAGAGCGGGATGGGCTCCGTGTTCCCCAATATCCAGATTTATCCCCTCCTTTTTCCCACTGCATCACCCCTCTGCTCTGTTGGGAACGCAGCCCCGGATCCCYGAGGATCATCCCTGCAATCCCTTGTCCCAAAGGTCATCCCCATATGGCAGCAGCTCTGGTTTTCGGCCCCTCCGAACAGACCATCCCTCCCTCCACGGCCACAGGCCGAGGGCAGCGTCCCACCTTCCCGACATCGTCCGGTCCGGGCTGGAGGGTGACGGAGCAGGGCAGGTTGGTGGCAACCTGGGGAGAGAAGGGGCCACGAGAGCTTTGCAGCGGGCGCCCCGCGGGGCCACGAGGCTGCGGGACCGCTCGCCCCGGGGAGCCCTCCCGGCCGCGTGCRCGGCGCCTACCTCGAAGGTGAAGGGGTAGGCGTTCTCGCCCAGCTTCTTCAGCAGCTTCTCCTGCAAGGGGGTGAGCGTTTTGGGCACCTGCTCCGGCACCGGAGGGAAGATCTGCGTGGTCAGGACGTAGAGGTCCTTCCTGAAGGTCAAGCCGATGACGTCGAGGTCATCCCGGCCGTAGCGGAAGGCGCACGTCAGCGTCACGTACACTGGTGTCGGTGCGGGGCGCAGGAGCGGGGTTGGGCACGGGGTTGGAGTACGGGAAAATGGGCACGGGAGAAAGGGTTGGGAACAGAGAGAAACAGCCGTAAGGACTTGTTTACAGAGAGAGACTCAGCTCTTGTCTGGACCCGGGTGTTTGGCACCAAGCAGGCAGTTAAAGAGAATCCTGGTCTCTTTCTTCAAGGCACTGGCGGCTGCCGAGCCCCAGACCGGGAGGAGGAGGAGCGGCAGGAGGCCGAGGCAGCTCTCCCCTCCGGAGGAGCCGTCGTTGCCCTGACGTGTGGCACCCYGCGGACAGCCCGTTGCTGCTTTCCCATCTCCAAAGCCTCAGGTTGCCTGTGGGCTTTGCACCATTTTTTTCAGCCTTTCCCATTCCAAGATAAGGTTTCGTGTCTTYGTACCTTTT